AAGAGTAAGAGGTTTTCATATTTTTGGCATAGCCAACTAAAGTGGGATTTTGGCTATTCTTCACCTTAGTGGGGTTTTCTAACCTTGCCAAAATTGGTGATTCTCCTTAGTAGGGTTTTCAACCTCGCCATGATTGGTGTCCTTCACAACACCCAGGTGTCTTTACAACGCCCCGACGTCACATGAACTATGCTCCTTCACCAAAGTATGCGATAGTCCATGCGGCACTTGAGTGGACGCTTCCACATAAGTCAGCCAATACTGGATTGTATATGTTCCAACATTAATAACAACAACAAATCAAACTAAAGGAACCCATATCAAAATAAAAAGGCATGTTGAATGCCATATATGCAATCACTTAGTCATTGAAAGGAAAACTATTTTATTAATATGAAATTGATTACAAAGGGTACAAGGCATGCCATCGTCGAGCCGTAGGGGCAACTCTAGATGAATTGCTACAAACATATACCTTTACCAGTGAGGCAACCCAATAATCCATCGACTACTCACCCCTTATAAAGAGTTTACGAGATTTTACAAGAATTCTACCAATAGACATTACAATGCTTGAAATGAGGACATTTCTTTTCTAAAGGGTCCCCCCTCTAAAGACTTAACAAGTTTTTATAAAGGTGTCAACGCAAGACATTACATTGGTTGAAAGTGGGACATTTCCCTTATAGGTATAAAAAAACTTAATCTCCTAAACAATCCTACACTATCATCATCTGATACAAGGTTGGCTCATGACACTTAGGTAAGGGTTTTATTTTTTTCCATGTTAGGCTCCATGGATCGACATATTTTCCTCTAGGAGTCAATCCCTGTGTTATATTTTTTCCTTGTTGGGTTGTAGGGATCAACCTTTTATTCTTGAGTTCTAGAAAGCTAGAAATCATGTTCTGTATTACAAGGATCGACCTTTTGTTCTTCAAAAGTCAATCACTAAGTTTCAAAGAGCTAAAATTTGTGTTCTAAGTTGCAGGAGTCGACCTTTTTCTCTTTAGTGGTTGATCCCTAGATTCTAGAAAGCTAATCATAAACCTTTAACCTCTAAGGATTGACCACCTCTTGGTAAGGATCGACCATTCATGCCTTAACTTTCAAAAATTGACTCTTTTTTGTTTCCTTTCTCTACCATTCTTCAAATATTCATTCCTTAGTATGAAAACACTATATGAAGAGGGAAGTTATGAACATTTTGATTGGAAACTTATATTAATAACTCATGAAAGAGAGACTCATTATATTTCATGGAAAATTACCAATTTACATTTGAATGAAAAGTTGGGGTTTCACATTTTTTTTCTTTCATTTTAAAACTTATGAATTAGTTCAATAAAGTTACCTCTTTTTTATTTATTAAACTAAATTAAAATATTATTAGATAATTTTTTTTAACATCTTACAACAATTGTACATTAAGTTTGTCGAACATTATCTTAATTTCTCTCTACATCTCATTACAACATTTTTAAAATAACTCTACTCGAATAGCACTTCCTACAAAAAGTGCACATTATGCAAAGCGACCATTGACGTCTCATATAACAACTAGTTACTTAGACCATATTTCATATCCTAATTTTTTATTTTTTTATAAAAAAAATTAAAAAAAGGCATAATACTCCAAAAAGTTTCAAAGCTATTCAAGAAAATAAGTCATTATTCTTTTATTATGTTAAATCAAGTTCTTGTACTTTCATTTTAGATCAAAAAAGCCCTTATGACTAATGATTGACTAATTGTCATTAGTCAAAATGTCACTTGTCATCTTATATCCACATGGCACTAATATAGCGTTGATATGAAAAAGAGAAAAATGTAGCATGATCATAGTATCATGCTAAATCAATATGTTACATCATCATAAATTATTATATGTCGATATGTCACATCATCATCAATTATAATATATTAACATGCCACGTTTGCGTTACACAGTATAGAATGACATGTAACATTTTAACCAAGTTCATCATTAGTTATAAGAGCTTATTTGACTAAAAAAATAGACATGGGTTTATTTGATTTAAAATAAAAGTATAAGGGCTCGATTGTACGCAATAAAAGTATAAGACCTTATTTGAAATTTTTTAAATAGTTTAAGAGCTCTTATATATATATATATATATATTATGCCTTACAAAAAAATATTATAATTCGAATGTTAAATCTTTGTCTAAAAATCCCATTACTTTAGCTAGATACAAATATTAGGAATCTCATATTAATAAGAAATGAGATAAGTCTTAACTTATAAAAAAAAAAAGGCTTTCCTTAATCTAATATACATGTTTTTTTGATTGAAAATATAAAAGATACCAAAATTAAGATAAATCTAGAATAAAGTGGATATCTTTCCTCTAGTGATGAAAGAACCAAGGCAACGAATTAAGCTAAATCCAAAGTGTGGGCATTACCCAATTTGTAAGCAGCTTACAAAGATTATTACTATTATATACGTCTAATCAAACTCAACCATGAAGCAAAATTAATTTCAGTTCACCCCTTTTGACGGCTATCATTCTCATCTATAACTATATTTAAAGGAAGTCCTAAAGGGCTTCCTTGCTTGTCACTTGGCAATGTAAAGTACTGTTTTATGTCTCATGACATTTTGCTTCCATCATGCATTGGTGATTTTTGTTACATCACCACTCAAATTTCAATTATGATTATTATTAATTTTGCTTTGGTTTTTTGTTTGAGTTGGCGTGGTTCACGTGTTTTCCTCATACTCTTTATTTTAATTTTTAGTTCATTCACCAGCAAACTTACCTTATTTTTTGTTTCTTTCTTTTCTATTTCATTCATTAATATATTGAATCAGTTAATTTTTAAAATTATTTTTTTTGATGTTCGAGAAATGTAAAAAATATTATTTTAATGTATTTAGTGTTAAATTTTTATATTTTTATAAATTTGATGTTCCATAAATTTTAATGTCAAAATATAGAATTAAATCATGAAAAATAATTTAAAATATTTAAAAAATAAAATGAACATACTTATGTTATATTCCTAAAAAATATAAATAAAGAAAATGAAACGAAAAGAATATATTAGTTCACAAGATTGAATCTATTAAGTACTGTATATGCTTTCTTTTCTTATTACTAATTGCACTATAGCAGTTAATTTATATTACAATTTTATTAATTGCAATTATATGTATAATTAAGTAATTCAATAATTAATGTATATGCTTGACACTTGGCAATGTAAAAGAAGCCCAAAGGGCTTTTTCGCTTGACACTTGGCAATGAAATTGCCCAAAGGAGGAAATCAACTACAAAGCCCAAATCCAATAGCCAATTTCAAAGTTTAGTTATAAGTGAAATGACATTTATACTCGTTTAAGTATTTGATAAGGTTAATTGCTCTATCAAATCTTATTTTATAAATTTATTAATAACATAAGAAGAAAATTCATGACAACCAAATAAATGAAAATCAACTAAATTCAAAACATGAACTTGCTTAATTACGTGTCATTATTTTTTTTATGATCTAAAAGTACACAAACCTCATAAAGTTTTCAAAACGAGTGTTTTTAAAGTTTCTACTTCATTCAACAACTAAAAAATATGTTTTCTCTTAAACACACAAAATTTGACATTACTAAAATATCTCATTTCAAATATATCTTATCATCTAAAATTTTTCCTCTTAAACATGCATAAAATTTGACATTACTAGAATACTCCATTTCAAGTCTATTTTACCATCTAAAATTTATGACAAAAAGTTAATAGAAAAATGAATTGTAAAAACAAGTATTATACTTTATACAGATACACTCTTTTGCTTCATCATTCGCAAATAAGCACATAACTGATTATACAACTCTAGATAACTAAATCAACTTGACTAAGTAAGAGAAAAAAAAAACACTTACATACATTTTAAATCACTAAATCCACTTGACTGTGAAAAAAAAAACACTTACATGCATGTAGGCACCTTATTTAAGCTAATAAAATATCTTATGTAAGCTTTTTACAACAAATTGAGTATTAAAAATTATGAATAACCAAAAAGAGTTTGTTATATTTAAAAGAAGTCCCAATGGGTTTTTGACTTAACACTTGATAGGGTTTTTGGTTTGACACGTGGTTGTTGAGGCATGAGCTTAAGATCTATTGGGATTGGTTTGTGGTTGGGTTTTTGAAGTTTGCTCTGGTTTGGATTTCATTTATTTCCTCTCACAGCTAATGTTTTAGATTTTTCTAACTTTTTATATGTGAATAATTTTTCTTTTTTTCATTATTTATGACTCTCATATCATTTTTTTAATGTTAAATGTAACTAATCTAAAGGACTGCATATCAACTAGTTAAAGATAGAGTTTTGTAAGAGATTGACTTATTGCATATTTTATTTTTCAAGTGTTAAATGTAACTAATGTAAAATGATACATGTCAACTAGCTAAAGATAGGATCTTGAGAGATATTGAATTACTACATATTCTACCGTAAGTTTAAAGATTTTGTTTAATGTTTTGTTTTTTATGTGTTTTTGTATGAAAACACCATCACAAATACCACAACAATAGTGACAATAACAATAATTATATATTTGTAAAATAATATTTTGTATATATCAATATACATCAACAATTAAATATAATAATATAATTGTTATTACATGTTTATTTCATAAAGTATTCTTAACTTAATTGGAAAAAAAAAATATTTATCACCCTAGCACATCGCATGAACAGCAGACTGATTTAGAATAAAAGCAGGCTTAGCCCCTGCCACTGGTTAGAGGATACATAGCTCCGAGGCAGATCAATGAAGACAAACAATTCCCAACGAAGTTAACCCCCTTACCCCTCTTCAGCCTTCCCCAAAGGTTGAGAGCTTCTTCTCAAATGGCATCCGATAGTGAGTTATCCAGTAAAATCTCGAGTCGGCCTTCATAAAAAATTTAAATGGCCACCAACTTTAGCAACAATTCATCATACAATAGTGATTTTCCTTGAAACTGAAAGAAAAGGAGTAAAAGGATAAAAACAATCCGAAATGATTCACACTATCACGCTCGATCTTACTGTACACTTAATAAGAATGAAATTAGCACCAAAAGAACATGTAGGAATACTGATGACATTGCAAAAACTGGCACCAGGTAAACTGAATAAGCATTCTATGAACACTAATAAAAGTAGACTGGACATTTCATTTACTGCTCTGTCAACCCCCGCAGCCAGGGCATGTGATTTTGCGGATATCTTACATAATGGTACGTTACGGACTATGCAAATTCCGTAGATGATCAACCACATCATAGGAAACACTAAGCCTTTGATAATCAGCCCGGTGAAGGAGATTTCCTTGAATTTGTGGCGAATCATTAGGCTTAGAGTCATTCTTTTTCATTTTGGCTGAAGAGCAATGGCGAACACGAATATGATGATTCCTCGTCTCCATTGCATACCTGCCATGAACTTTGACAACCAATATAGCTTCCTTATCTCTGTTGTCTTCACACCACCAGTTTGGTGGAGAACCATCAACAAACTCTTCTTGGGTATGGAAAGCCTCAATATGGACAGATACCTCTGCTACACGATCAGGTTTGATTATACCAGCAGCTGGAGTAACCTGCGCCAAACATGACCAATGTGTAATGAGCTTTAGCGGCAAAGAATTAACAAGCTGAATACACAAAATCCGGAATTTTTACTTCATATATCTACAGAAGCCCATAAAGCTGGTAACAATGTCAGACCATATTTAATAAATAAAAATGGAAAGGAACTTGGGTTTGTAAATGAAATTGATCCTCCAGACATGACAGTTTTTTTTTTATTTTTTATGAAGTTACATGTACCAGTAGTAATTAAAATCATAATCAAGTATTACATCTCATATTAAAATCACTGAGTAGACAAACCAACCAACAAACTAGCATATAACTGGACAAATCCAATATAAATTTGAACCAAACCTACACATGGTGGGACTAGAATCTGGAACCTCAAAGTTCCAGAACTTCCTCCTTGCCTCTTTAGACAAGGTCTCATTGGTGACATGAAATATTTCTGACCTTCAAAATAAAAGTGAAGCAGAAATTATCAAAAAGCCTCTCCATTAAACAGATATGTCAGCGGCCAAAGCCAACTACAAATTTTGATGTCCCTAAACCAATTTTGAATCTGCTCCATGAATCCACATCATATAGCACTTATTACCTTAGACTACTTTTGAACCAAAGGGTTACAAGCTATCCTATAAAAGATAGCAACTGAATGCATACCTGACATAAAAATTAAAACGAGAAAAAAAAAAAAGCAAAATCTATCTAAAATATGTACACAATCACACAACAAGAAGCCTTTTTCCCCTGAGGTCATCTAAAAAGACCAAATTATGCCAGTATGAAACACCATATCCTACAAATATATTCTAACTTTAATATTAATAAAAAATTTGCTTTCTCCAATTCTTCATTTTTTCAGATATGTAGAAAAAAAAAAGTTTGATGTCATAACTGTAACTTCTTTAAAAACATTAAAAATTATGTGAACAGAAAACTAGAGTTAGTGAATTATGTCAAAATAAATTTGAAACTCAAAAAGTAGGGAAAAAAATGATAAACAAAACAAATGGATGTGAACATGAATTCGGAGCTAATTAAAGCATAATTAATATCTGTGTCTTAAATCAACACAATGCAGTGGTTAAACCAAAAACAGCGAAGTTTTAGCTAAAACAATTCTATTTAAGTTATTTGAAGTTTTCATTAAAAAGAAAGAAAATTATTTCAAGATGCATGCCAAACAATATTAGACTATAGATCCCCTGTTCAACAGCTCAAACAATGCAAAAGTAATTATTTATCAAAATCTCTATATTAATCGATTTCAGGTGATACAGAGCAATTAGATCTAAGGTTAGATTTGTATTTAGCTCCAAATACAATCATTACATATTCCAAATCAAAGTTCCCTCAACTGATTCCTTTATTCAATAAAGAATTTCAAAGGCCTTCAAAAATGACCAGCACAAGTCAGTTCAGCCCTAGCATTATGGACCCAACACCAATTCTCACTCAGGTATGGCTAAAGTAGTTTTTCTTCAATTAGAGCACCCTGAACCCTACCTGCTAAATACGATAATC